ATATATATATATATATATATATATATATATATATATATATATCGACGAAGGTCAATGAAATGATGTCTCGTACAGTTTTCAAATATTATGCGGGCATATCGCGTTATATTTGAACACAATCGTACAACAATAATGTGATTATATTTTCAATGGAACATACATTTTATAAATTTTCAAACGTTTAATACATAAATCGACACACAAATGGGGAGTCGATAAAAAAGTGTACATTCCTCATTCTTTAAAATTAATTTGTATTCTGATGTGTAGGATTATTTGTATTATTATATTGTATTATTATATTGTTATATGTATTATTATATTCTATTATATTATTTATTATTACTATTGATTTATTACTATTAGTACTATTATTTATTACTATTAAATTCTCAACTTCCTAGCCTTAATTTCCTAACCTAAGTAGCCTAAGTTACCTTAATATCTTTAATAATTTGGAAATAATACACCGACGTGCCTAAATCCTCTAATCATCCAATTGCTTTAAACTGCACAAAAAAAGATATTACCATTACGTCGTCGCTATTCGACAATTAATTCATACAATGTTTGCTGCATAAAAACATTTGAAAAATCACTGCGCGATTTTGCGAACGCTCTCCCTTTATAAATGAAACGTTTCATCGGCTAAAATAAACATTTTCCTGTTGTGCACAATATCATAAAAGCATCGAAGTCGTTTACGGACCATCATAAACCGTGAACGCTGGTCGATCAAACATTTTTAATCGACGCTGCATATTCAAAGTTCGCATTACCGCGTCTAATAGCTATAATCTCCATACACGTCGAATATCGTGCAATAATTAAAACGTAAGCTAAATGCGATGGCCCGAGCTTTGTGTACAATTAGTTTTGTTATTTATGGGACGTTCGTGTGGTTCTATAAATTGTTAAACACGATTACGCGGGTGTCGATCGATAACCGATTAACGTTTCCGACCGTTTGTTCCCGTACGTCGAATAATTCAAAGAACGCTAGTCGAATAAAACTGATCGCACGCGAAATTGCCAGCGGTGGTCTTGAGAAATTCACGGGAACTCTTCTCTATTTATCTTACACCTACACGCTTACATCCTCTCTATCTTACACTGTATCCTCGCGATAACTGTTCAACAGAACTTCACGATAACTGACCAGATTCTATTCCCACAATTGATAACGAGGAATCGAGAGTCTGCGAGGCTCGCGCTAATGCAACCGAACCAAAAGATTGCAACTGTTCGCATTGTTGATTTTATATTTCACTGTCTTATTCTATGAAACTTTTACCATTGTATTCGCCTCGTTTTGCCGACTAAAATAATACCAAACACGATATGAATACGATTCTATCGGGTTGGCAATTAAGTTCCCGTCGCTTTTTTCAAATTTTCACATTCCGCATGTCGTTAAATGTTTCGGGGATAATGTTTTAAATCACTCGAAAGAGGATGTTTTGTTCTTCCGGAATGTGTGTTTTGTTTTTGCGTACGAGTTAATTTATGTTAATTTTTAGATCATTGAAATGGAATGTCAAGTTGAGAAAAATGAGCATTTTCGACAGCTCCTTTTTGCTTTTAATCAAGGTTCTAAGGCCGCGAAAGCTGCTCGCGACATTTGTGCTGTGTACGGAGACGGTGCCGTAGCTGAAAGAATCGCTCGTGATTGCTATGCCAAGTTCAAAAATGGAAATTTTGACCTGAAAGACGCATCCCGTTCTGGCCGTCCAGTTGAGTTCGATGAAGAGCGATTAAACCAACTTTTGCACGAAAATTCGCGTCAAACGACAAGGGAACTGGCAGAGAAAATGGAATGCTCCCACGCTGCTATAGAGAAGCATCTTCACTCAATGGGAAAAGTTCAGAAGTGTGGAGCACGGGTTCCGCATGCTTTAAGTGACACCAACAAAAATCAACGAGCTTGTTTGAATGAATTTTTCGAGTCGAAACCGGGTGATTTCTACCAACGAGGTATTGTAAATCTTGTCAAACGTTGGGAAGAAGTTGTGAACAACAAGGGAGAATGCCTTATTGATTAATTAGTTGTTAATCTTTATTGAAAAGTAAACTTTTAAAAAATGTAAAAAAACGGCGGGAACTTAGTTGTGTGCCAACCCACTAATTTCTTGTATAATAAGCGATTAAAGTGTTGAACGTGAAAGAGGACAACGAATTGAGTAGGAAGAGATAAAGATAGTCGACGTGTTCGCGAAAAATGATGCTTGCGTGAGCCAAGACCTTTAAATTAAACATTAAGCTTTCTTATTTTTGATTTTTCATTAATCTTTCTACTCAATCTTCGTTTGATTTTTAAGATGGCGAATTTGTTAGTTATGAACGAGTCGAATGTTTGTTTCACCACCGAGAGCCACAAGATAGCTACCTGGTGACGAGCCGACGCGACGACAGTTTCACCGTCTGGATCCACAAGGGAGGATCAGAATTTAGAATTGCGGATGAACCGATGTCTGTTGCGACAAAAGCGAGGATGGTGTGGACGAGCCGGAGTCTGTTTCACCAGCGGGGCTCACAAGGGGATAGAAGGTATAGGGACGTGTTAGTTCTGCCTCGTAACTTATTAAGATGGTGCACTTCGTGCGGCAAACTTGCACCGTGGTGGAAACAATTCCAGCAACTGGAATCGGTAAGAAGATGTGAATTGAATAAACGAAATACAGTAAATTCTCCCTAATTGACGCTCTGATTGCGCACAAAAGTGGACAATTTGGGAAGAGGAGATACGATTATTCGAGCCTTGCGGCTCGTTTTTGTAGTTACCGATCATCAACAATTCTAAAAATAGTAATCGTATCTCCTCTTTCCAAATTGTCTAAATCTTAATTAATATTAGAATATTTCAATCCTCTTCCCAAATTACCAATTTTTGTGCACAATCTGTGCGTGAATTAAGGAGAAAATACTATAGCAGGTACGTGACCGTCGAATCGTGCCATCTGGCTTCGAATCATGTCACGTGGCCTCCGAATTGCCTTCGAATCGTGTCACGTGGTCTCTGAATTGCCTTCGAATCGTGTCAGGTGGCCTCCTAATTGCCTTCGAATCGTGTCACGTGGCCTCCGAATTGCCATCGAATCGTGTCAGCTGGTCAACGAATTGCCTTCGAATCGTGACACGTGACCTCCGAATTGCCTTCGAATCGTAGCCTGTGGCTTCTGAATTGCTTTCAATTCCCAAAATTGCCTTCAATTCTCCGAATTGTCTTCAATTCTTCAAATTGCCTTCAATTCCCCGAATTGCCTTTAAATCTCCGAATTGCCTTTGAATCGTGACATGTTGTCTCCGAATTGCCATCGAATCATGTCACGTGGCCTCCGAATTTCCATCGAATCGTGCCACGTGGCCTCCGAATTGTCTTCGAATCGCAGCGAAAAATTAGAAACAAAAAATTTAAGTCATCGTTTTTATTCCAGCATCACTCCTATCAATGTACCCCGACATGCTAGCCGCTGCCATTTTTTCCCCCGCCTGCCCCGAGTTTCGACAAAACCTCGGCCGCGAGGTCCGAAGAATCGCGACTTAGTATTCTCGGATCCGGCGGCCTCAATTCCGCGCTCCGAACATTTCCGGGCGAAATTACTGTAACACACGCCTGCTCCCCTTTCCTCGACTTCTCGTCTCGTCGTTGTCATAGAATTATTTAATTAGCGGCTGCGATGTACTTTTGCGTGCCCGGGGTACTCTTGTTACCCAGCTGATCACCTTAAAGTTAACGAGCTGATGTCGCGAACAATGGACACGCTGAAGGGTAACTCACCCGACGTACGCGAAGCTGCACCACCAGTTCATCATGGCCTCGGAGAACAGAGTTTCGCCGATGTTGTATCGGCGTCGCAGGTCGTATTTATTCCCGTCGAGGGGCACACCCAGCACGTAGGGCAGCTCTTCGCCGTGCACGGTGCGCTGCCGCTGTTGCTGCAAAGATAACGAGGCCACTCGATATATACATATACATTCCCATCGAGAAACAAAGTTTCGCGCGGCTCGCTGGCTCGCCGAAATTTCGCGGTCCAGAAGAAGGGCCGAGAACAGTGCCGACGTCCTCGACCCGTGGGCCGTTATTAACTTCCGGCACTACCACGGAGCCCTGGGTCCTCCAGAGCAACGGCAACTTATCGGGGAGAGCGACGGCCGAAAGTCGGCGGGGACAATCGATACGTTCGACGTATACGTATTCCACCGTGTCCGTCGTTCGACACGAAGTAATTGCTTCTACACATTATTGAAATATTATATTTCTGCCGGGAGCGACCCTGTTCGATGGAGATGGGCTTCGTTCGATTGGGCCAACGATGATACGAAATATTTCATTACCGGGTTAATGGGCCGCGAATGCGTCACGCTCGGCGAACAGGGCGGATCGATAGTCGAATGTTCGAGTATTTTGAATTAACGCAGAGACGAACGGATAGAGACGGGAAATAGAAATTGCAAAGCGATATAGCATTGTCATCGTCGAACGCTTCGTTAGTTTGGTTGAGGGTAAGCCGGTTTGAAAATTTCTTTCTCGCGTGTTTTTTCATTCGGCCACAGATTTTTAACGAATTGACGGACTTTGGTGTTTAGATACGGAGTGCCGGAGAGTAGAGTTTGATTTCGACCGAATGGTTACGTAGAAAATATGTGATAAAACACTGTCACAGGGTACAGTAATGTCTCCCTTACTGACGCTCAGATTGTCCGCTAAAATGGACAATTTGGGAATAGAAGATACGATTATTCGAGCCTTGCGGCTCGTTCTTACAATTGTGGACAATTTATAACTATAACAATGAACCGCAAGGCTCGAATAATCGTATCTTCTATTCCCAAATTGTCCATTTTTGTGGTCAATTCGGGCGTCAATTAGAGAGACATTACTGTGTACTTGTGGATCGTTGGAATGTCATGCTGTTCTAATCTGAGATAAGCAGATGTGTAAAGATTGACTTCGTTCACGCGAAACGGTGAATTAGGGTCGTCGTTGTAGCGAGACATTGTTACAATTCGACCAATACAACAGACCAATGATAAGAGTAGCCGGTAATGATAGAAGACGGAATGTAAACATTACAGAGAACGAGAAATATGAAAGTGTAAACAAACATAATCATGCTACGCGCGGGCTAAACAATCTTCAAACTCGATTTTTTCGTAAACGAAACTTTAAACAGAGAAATGTTATTCCTTTTTTTCGACTTATTTTCGTACGTAGAATCATCCCTTGCCCAATGATACTATTCGTCTGGTAACACTCTGTATATTGTACATACGTGATACCGACAGCAGATGAGTTTTAACCCTTTGCACTCGAAGCTATATTTTAAATGTAAATATAAAATCATTTTTCTAACTTATAGTATTTCTATAATACGTGACAAAATGCATTTTATGCGCATGAGATTGACTCTTGGGACTCGCGCAATAATTGCACTCTTAGCAAATTTTAAATCTAAATTTTGTTCATATATAAAGATTATCTTGAAACGTGATATAACAAATTTTAGTCGTGCCTCGAGAGCAAAGTGTTAAAAAAAGATCAACATACGTAACACACGTTGTTTGCTATCTTCGTTATAAACCTGATTCGATATTTTACGGCGAGAGTCTAAAAAGTCTTTCGTTATCGTAAATTATGCAACAAGAACCCAATAATAACAAGTTTTTCATTATTAAATTTCGTTAGAAATTTGGATTATCTGAATAATCGGTTGTTCCATCCAGCTGTTCAGTTCTGCTACAAAATTCTACGCTTCCAGAATTTCGGAAACTGTGTCGAGAGAATCCGTGGGAAAGAACATTTTCCCTTAATTTATTTACCGTGCTTCATCAAGTTTCAACCTATGAAATACAAATGTTAAATTTCTGCCAACAATGTAACGAAACGATGCAGCTATCGTATATTGTGCGGAATAAATATGATTTATTGTCATATGAAAAAACGTAGAAGAGCAGTACGTACAGTCGGAGGCATATTTAATCTGGCCATTTGTTTCACAACAACCAAATATTTTTCATCTATGTATTGTGTATATTGTAAATGATTGAATACTTTTCGAGGAAACTGTACGTGGTACGCGTTTGTTACGCTCGGTATAGATTCTCGCTGTTAAAATTCTGATAGAATAAACGAATAAAACTATAACTTACTGACAATACGATTAATATTGTACAATGGAAGCGCAGAGCTCAAGCGCGTAGATCTCATAATTACTCATTAAATAAAAAGGAAATCAAAATTTCTACGTTATTTATCCTGAAATTGTCTCGATCGCAAGGAGAGATTTTCATAAGTTTTATTCAATATATCTTGGTTAGGATAACGAGGATAAAGGATAAAGAGCAAAAAAAATTTTGCGACTATCTCGAACACTAAACCAAACCCAAACTTTTATATTACGCATTTTGACTTACCATTTCCCAATTTACGTAATTTTATCAACATCTCCGCTTTGAACAAAATTTCTCTGTAGTCACATTAGATTTAACCCTTTGGAGTTTATCGAGTCATATGTGTCCCACTATGTATTTCGTACATCTATTGGAAGAAATGAGTCCTGTTTTTCCACAATACACGAATATACCAGTCTTAGAATGCATACCACGCGCATATTTGTTCACATGAAACCATACAACCTCTCACTTTGGTGGTGAAGTCGGACCAAAAAGAAAATCATAATAAAATCAACATTTCTTGTTATTAGCATTTACGTGTACGTAAAACTTGACTTCAGATATAACGCAAATTAACGAAAAATAAATCAGACTCCAAACGGTTAAGATACATTTAGATCAAGATAAGACGTTACTGAACATACTTTCCAGAATATATATATATATATATATATATACCCGATAAACTCAGTCTCCATAATCAGTCTCCAAAGAGTTAAGATACACTTAGATCAAGATAAGACGTTACTGAATATACTTTCCAGAACACGTACCCGATAAACTAACGACCTCAAGCACACAATAACGCAAATTAACGAAAAATTGATCAGTCTCCAAAGAGTTAAGATACACTTAGATCAAGATAAGACGTTACTGAATATACTTTCCAGAACACGTACCCGATAAACTAACGACCTCAAGCACACAATAACGCAAATTAACGAAAAATTGATCAGTCTCCAAAGAGTTAAGATACACTTAGATCAAGATAAGACGTTACCGAATATACTTTCCAGAACACGTACCCGACAAACTAACGACCTAAAACACACATACAGAAATCATTGAAATCGATGAGGCGGTCTACTCAGTCCGTGTTGTCCACATTAACACGTTCCGTGCCGAGCTTTTTTTACTCGAATCTTCACACTTTGATATTTTACTAAAACTTGATGTATTACGTGCAATTATTAATTCTCGTACACATAACAACGTAACAAAAACTTATCAACGCCCATTCTTGCGGTGGAAATTGATTCTTCGGTTCTAAATTTCTTGTAAACAATTTGTTCAGTTCACTAAGTAAACATGCAAGCGTGTACCATCGATGGTACACGTGGCACGGAACGTGTTAAAAAATCATCAAGATCAGAGGACGACGCCTTCATACATAAACAATTACAAAAATTTCGTCCGCTCGCGTCGCATCCAACGTACAGTAGGAGAAGAATTTTTCCCGACATCGTTATCACATCGTCATCAAAAACCGGCCCGTAAAGACAGACAATCGCCGACAAACCCGGCGGACACCTAATCACGAGTAGCTGAAAATAAGTTTCGAAATAATTCGAGTTCCAGACGCAATCCGCGGGAATGGCCGGCGACGCAGCGTACCGGTCGAACGAAGCGGGTCCGCGGGGTGGACTCGGAATCGCGTCTACGTCCCTGTCGTTCGTAAACTCCGTATCCAATGGCACCGACAGCCCTTTAACCCCGAGTTGAAAACCAGAAACGTTGTTACATTCGGTTTAACGACACCGCCGGTCACTGTACCCCGAGCGTAACAAGCCGGCACGCAGCAACGATAAAAATAGTTGGCCGAGCTCCAAATGGGTTCCGTAGCCGGGATTTTTCTCCCCCCAGCCGCTCCGCGCCCGCCCGCCGGCCCATCCATCCCCCTGGCCCGCCACCCTGACAACCCCCTCTGTCCGCCGAGCCGCCGTTGGCGCGGCCGCGAATACAATGAATAGCCAGTAGGTCACGCTCCCTGTTCCCTCCGCTAAAGGAATCTTGCTACGGCGCGGAGCGGCAGGGTAAAATGAATAAAATGCAAAGTACACCGTCTAATCGTACGTGCTCCAGTTTCGTCCCCGAGGTGGACGGAAGGGAAGAGCCCGGCCGCGATTTATGCGCGCCCGTAATATTTCTCCGTGCTTCCGGGATCCTTGACCCGGATGAATTTGTCAGCCGGTGGAAGAGACTGCCGCGTATACGAGACACTGCCGCCGTGAAACTTCTGAGACTCGCGGGTCTCGGGCCAGCCTCGCCGGAAAGAAAGCTGCCCCACTTTCCCGCGTTCTAAGCGCACCCCGTTAGGTGCGGGCCAGCCTGCCGGGTCGCACGACCCTGCGCAAGCTCGAAAATGTACTACGCTCTGAACTATGGGGTTCCTTTCGGAACTACGGTAAATTTTCCCTAATTGACGCTCAGCTCGGAAGCAAAAATAGGCAATTTGGGAAGAGGAGGTAGGATTAGTCGAGCCTTGCGGCTCGTTTTTTTAGTTACCGATTGTCAGAATTATAAAAATGAGTCATGAGGAATTATCGTATTTTCTCTTTTCAAATTGTCCATTTTTGCCAACGCTGGAAAGAAAGCTGCCCCACTTTCTCGCATTCTAAGCGCACCCCGTTAGGTGCGGGCCAGCCTGCCGGGCCGCACGACCCTGCGCAAGCTCGAAAATGTACTACGCTCTGAACTATGGGGTTCCTTTCGGAACTACGGTAAATTTTCCCTAATTGACGCTCAGCTCGGAAGCAAAAATAAAGAATTTGGGAAGAGGAGGTAGGATTAGTCGAGCCTTGCGCTGCGCCTCGTTTTTATAACTGTTGTCAATTCGTAACTATAAAAACGAGCCGCAAGGCTCGAATAATCGTATCTTCTCTTTTGAAATTGTCCATTTTTGTGCATAATGTGAGCGCGAATTTGGAAGAAATTACTGTACGGTAAATTCTCCCTAATTAACGCTCAGATTCTAGACACAAATGGACGATTTGGGAATAGGAGATACGATTATTGGAGCCTTGCAGCTCGTGTTGACAATCGGTAACTAATATAAAAACGAGCCACAAGGCTGGAATAATCGTATCTTCTCTTCCTAAATTGTCCAAAATATTGTAAAGTAACGTGAATACTTGGAAATAAATCGTCTGTTATCTAGCCATTCGTAATAATCGGATGTACATACATTCTTGTATTTATGAAGAGATCTTCAATTTCTATAAAATGTTAGCTTCTAATTAATTTTACGTAAGTGGAACAAGCGGTAAATGCAAGAATGTTTTGAATAGATTTGAGTTATTTTAATTTTTGTGTTTGCTACTCTGGAAGACTATTCCTGCTTCAAAATTGGTCTTCTTCGAACAGTTTTCAAGTATCTAGAATAATATAGCCGAGGCAGGAAAGTAACGCGAACATAATTTAGAACTCTAAGGGGTAAAAATGTCTACGAAAGTTTTTGACGGAAACCCGACAGTCTGCTTCCAAACCTAATACAACATAAATAACTAAGACCTAAAGTCAACTGACAGAAACTGAGAAGGCGGAAAAAGCTTCTGAAAACTTGCTTCGGAATAGTGATATCGCCCACGTGCTTTCGCTCCATAGGTAAAGTGTCCTTCCAGTTTTTTTTTCATGAAGGATGCGATGTACGTACGTGCTCGTTCTTTTTGCACATGTCCTTGTGTATTAGAGAAACATTTGTAAAATGCTAGGTTAATTTCTCTTTAAAGCTACTATGCAGTTTATATATTTTTTGTTCGTCCGAAATAATATACGGTGAACAAAGTATCCACACACCTTTTAAATTTTTTTGGTTGCCATGATAATAGAATTAAAAAGTGGTGTTTTTTTTTATTTCAATGAAGTTTTCAGCATACATACAAGTTACCGAGATCTACAAAATGCATTTTTCAAATTTTCGTTCTGAGCTCACATGAAAAGGTTCAGAAAGCATCTTCTTTTAGCTTCTTTGCCAAGGCAACCAATCACAATTTTTTGAAAACAATTCGTTAGCCAATTTGTATAGTAAATTAATCTCTCGAATATTCAAAAAAAAATTTAGACCGCTTGACTTAAACATACAAAAGTAGTTCCGTTTTAAAAGCTGTACGAATACTTTGTACATCGACTGTACGTATCATCTCGACACACTTATTTAACCGAATACTCATTTCTTGCTATAAGTGTAGAAATCATTGTTATATTTAAACAATCCTATTTCTAATTACATTCGAATATACAAAGAACACGTATTTCTATTTTTTAAGTACATGCTATAAGAAGAATGCGATTGAAATTCGGCGTAAAGATTTTAAGAGAATCTGGTATTTAATTTATGATACTTGAACTATAATCTGCTACAGCAGAGTACTAAAGACGGTCTACATTTTCATGAAACGGATCGTAAAGTGCTTTCATTTCTTCTGTCTGGACACTAAGCGCGATCAAAGGGATCTAATCTCTATGGCCAAATAAAGGCAAACATTTATATATTTGTTCTCGTCATACGTTTCGCATCTATAATTTTTCTCAATTTAAAAACTCTTCGAGTAACTTTGCACAACAGATGAAGACAAACTAATATCGAGTGAAATATACGCAAATAAAAATATCTGAACGAAAAATATTCGGTGCATTAAACATGAAATAAACAAGAAATGCGTCATTAAAAATGAAATTAAAGAATAGAAAAGAAGACAGGGAAACTGTCAGAATCCTCTTCCCGTAACCCTTCCATCATGTAACCTAAACGCAATCGCGTTAGTTTTAGGAAACAATGAAACTTTTACGCTATATTTTAACTCTACTTTATTATTTAACTTTATATTATATTATATTATTATTATATTATATATTATTATATATTATATTATTATTATATTATATATTATTATATATTATATTATTATTATATTATATATTATATATATATTATTATATATATTATATATTATATGTATAATAATATTATATTATTTAACTTTCATCCACAATTTACCGCTCCATTTAGATATTCTCCAACGAAAGAAATTGACAAACGCTCCTCGACTACGCGAGACAAATGATCGCGAAACCATCAAAAATCATCTTTCCATAGTTTCACAAAAAGCGCTCGCAAACATTAGCTTATCTCGAACATTGTAAACCGAGCTTCCCTCCGTTCGGTGCTTGAATCGGCACTCGAAAGTTTACGATAAACCTTCCGAAGTGTCCGTGGGTACGTTCATTAAAGAAAGACATCAGAGAAGCTTTCCACGGCGGCGGCAGCTTTGTCTCTCCCGGTTCGGAGACGCGGCCGTTGTTTCTTGGCTAAGAGCCCCGTAATCATTCTTTCAAGATAACGTTGACTGTCTCCGCGGCGCTCGATAAATTCTCCCGCTGCGGAGTAACGTACGGCGGGACGTGTGAACAGAAACGTACTTACGCCCGAGTAGTCCTGCATCGCCTTCGGATGCGAGAAAACGTACATGTAGCTCTTCGGGTTCGCCCTTGAATGTAAATTCGCGGTCATTATTAATGGGGCGACGGTGCCGCTGTCGGAGATCGCCTCCAACACCATGTCCCGATTCTTCATCGCGTACTCGTTCGTGAACCCAGCCGAGAAATCGCCGTATTGTTCCAGAATCTTTGATAGAATGAGCTCTGGTTCCAGTTCGTGCGTCGCCTGCCGACCAAGAAAATATCACGTCACTTCCGATGTTGGAATGCATACCGAATCTCACCGGGAATACTCTCCCATCGGCGCGACGGCGCGGCGTCTCGCGTTCGAAATTTATTCAACGGTTCGCCTTTTTTTTTCTTTTTCTCCCTCCCCCCACCTGATAGCATTCGTCCATTTTCATGGAGGAACTCCTCTAATTTCGAGCACAGAGATCCGTATTGTTTCGTACCTTCGCGTGGTCCCTCAGCACCTCGTCCCGTTGCCCGTCCAGCATCCCGTGCAGCAACGCAACCGGTGGCAGAATATGAAATTTCTCCGATTCTGTGACGCCGTACATCAAGTCGAACCTAGGAAAACGAAAACTCAATATCACGGACTTCGCGCCAGGCTGCCGCTTCGATCAAGCTCAATATCAAGAGCCAGGCGTGTCTTATATGTCCAGCTCCCGACGTGCTCCCACGGAAATCGAGGACACTTCCGGTGCATCGATTCAATTAGAATTTATGCGGGAGGGAGGGTAGTTTGCCTCGCACGCGTGATACACTGTATCGGGAATGAATTGCATTTTTCGAGAATCGAAACACTAACGAATTGTTTTAACCGGGGAAAGGAAGTCAATGATGGAGCACGTGGCGTGCAAACATTTGTGAATTTCATTGGCGTGGATGTCGGCAAGGAAAATGACCAATCGTTGCGTTTCGTATGAAATTGTTACATTGTGTAAGAAGTGTTGTATTCATCAAATTTTTGTTGACGGAAGACTTTTAACAATCATATGTTTTGATAAGTATAGTTTCAATTATTCTACGTTGTTTAACATGACTTCGCGAAAATTCGAATTGTAAGAATTTATCCTTTTTAAATTATTAATGAAATATATCAAAATTACGATATTAAAAAAGTGTATTATAATTACGCCATTGAGGCTTTGTCTACTGCGTTATCTGTATATGGATGAGAGACGAAATTATGTAAAATTTAATTTCTGTGTAAATCTATAACAATTTCTTAATTTTATTAAGATTCGTAGAAGGTAATAATGTTGAAATAGTAATCGAGAGAGATAGTCATATAACTTTCCTTTTTATGTTTAATTTAATTGGTTAAAATACTTTAAGTCTATGAAATTTTGAGATATTTTCGTCGCGGCTGTCAATGTGTTAATATACAGAATATATTGTTAATATGTAGAATGGAACGTTATCTAGAAAAGTATAATTTTTATGAAAATAATTGTTACAAAAATTTGTCTAAGCTGAGTCTATACCAAATCACGTGTCAAAAGATTCACAAAAAATCAATACATATTTCCATATA